AAGAAAAAGCCTACAATTTCTTATTCTATCATTTTTTTTATAACTGTTAGTTTTTGAATTTGAAAAAAAAATTATTCAAAACTAAATTAAATATTTTTTTAAATTTAGGCTTCTAAAATCGTTCAAATTCACAGAATCTACTGTTAATACATAAATAAAGTAAATTGCAGAAGGAATACGTTTAATTTTTTTTTTCCTCAAGTCATTAATTTTAATACCGATTTTTTTTCTCAAAAATTAAGGCAATCATTTTATTTTGATTATAACTTCATTAGTTTTCATGCTAACTAACCACCACTCAATTTAAAAGTCTTTTCAAGAACTTTAATAAGTAGTTTTCCTCGAAAAGCCTAATTTTTCCGCTACAGGACGTTGAACGTTTCGATCATAGCTATCTTGGAAATTGACTTCAACTTCTGGGAGTCATAACTCGGGTTCTATACCACCTACAAAAATTAAAATAACAATCTCTTTGCTATCTAATTACCTTCACTTTTGCTTATGATAATTTTTTGATAAAATTTTTTGAGATATTCGCGAAAATGGCTCAAAAACATGCATTTTTTGGGCTAAAAACGAACATGTGTAGGCGCAAATAACTCAAAAAGTATTGACTTTAAAAAAATTCTTATAGAACATTTTTTGCTTAGAATTCGTTCCTCTATCGAATCGTAGGGTTATTTTTAATAAAAAAATTCCCACCCTCCAGAAGGGGTGGCATCCACCCCTAGGGCAAAAGCACACATCGGTTCTATATAACTTTTGTTTCTTGGGCTATTCCCTAGCTACAGTTCAAATTTCACGTCAATCTATTCCAATCGAAAAAATTGGTAGCCAAAATGCTTCAGTGATTGGACTAATACAGCGATCAATAAATAAATACATGGAGCAAACTATTTCCGAAACACCGAACTTTCGTGGTAATCGCATTTTTTAAAAAAAACGTAATCCACATATTCTTCGAAGTGGCATTCTTTCAACGAATTAGGAAAATTAGTTTTACATAATTTTTTGACCTGTTGTGTATATCCCTTAATATAGCCTTGGGATTTATTTCCCTTTAGATAACCTTAAGGAACCAAAAGACAAAGTATACACTTGATTTCGTGTTACTCACACTGGCTAGAGACTTTTACTTTAGTTATAGAACTGCAATATATCACAGTTGACGTTCGATCTCGCGTCAAGGCGGCTCCGCCAATTCTCAGGGACTGAATAACTTCTGGCATATGGTCTTTCCGATTGATGGCTCTAACGTACTTCGTTGTGAAATCTGGGCATTATTTTAGACTATTCTGCGATATAACTCAAACACAATGGCTTAATCGAATTATTTTGAATTTTAGGACATTATTAATGACTGACAGCATGGATTATCAAAATTAAACAAACCCATCGATTTTACGTTACGTGCGGTAGTAATAATTTATAACAATGTGCGAGGATTACTGTGCTGGGGAAGCAAATTACTGTGAGATTGTTTAACCGAAACTAATAACGATTTCCTTTGTTCCCTTACAAGGTTTTATTTATAATAAAATCACGTTTAGTATAAAAGGATTATGGAAATAGGCTAAGTATTTCTCCGTGCCACATATCCCATAAAACCGATTAGCGCAAAAGTCTGTGACTTTATGAATTTGGTTATGGGGCACGAAAACAAATAATGTTTTATTCATGGGCTCGGCGAACAATGGTTGACGGGAAAGCTTTTCCGCATTTTCTTGATACGTTGTAGAGTTCGATATAATTTACAGCTCATGGCATGTATATTCGCGTAATCAGTCGTTTTATTAGTCGAATAAACAGCCGTTACAGGGAACTTACTGCAGAAGGACGAGGCAAAGTTGGTAACTATTCAATTATATACAGAGGGCATTAAGTGCCAAAATTTTAAACACTTCCGCCTAATAACTTTTTTTTTTGAAGGACACACATTTTCGTAAAATTATCTGTTATTACTATGTATGTACAAATTAGTAATTTCTTACATGAGCATATCATATACAGGGTGATTCACAAATGGTGACCAAAAATGGAACCTCGTATTCTTTGATAAATTTTAAGGGGCGTCTTTCATATAATGTTTTTATCTAGGACGCTTCGTTAAAAAGATACAGGGTTCGGATTCGCCTTTCAATTTTCTACAAATTACTACCCTCTTATGTTTTTCGCAAAAAGCCTGATTTTCGAGTAAATCTTAAAAAACGAACTGAAAACACCGGACCTCAACGCACTTGATTTCTTTTTGGGGAGTGCTGTTAAATGGCTGGTATACAGTGAACAAATTAATACACTTGAGCAGTTAGAAGAAAGAATAAATAATGCTTTTTATCAGATTCATACAATAATAAATTTCGAACATATTACATTTTCGTTACTAAAAAGATGTCGCGCCTGTGTTCGTACAAATGGATGTATTTTTGAGCATTTTCTCAAATAAAATCATTAAAATGATGTCTAATGTTATTAATTTCTTTATTCGAATAAATAACCGAATGACTAGTGCTTGTCATGTCATTTAGTAAAAGTATTTTCAGTTGGTTTTTTAAGTTTTACTCGATATCATGGTTTTTACCGTAAAGCAGTGGCGTACTACACTAATGGAAAAAATTAAGAGATCAAAAAAAAATCTAAATTTTCGGCGATTTTTCAAATGGCTGTATCTTTGATAAAAATGGTCGTATTGGAGTAAAAAAAAGCAATTTGAAGCTTGAAGTTTCTAATTTTTGGATCTTGCAAAAAAAATAAATTTTCAAGTAACACGTATCGCGCAATCTTAATGAATATCATGAAAATTTTTCGAAATTTTTTTCGATCTTATTTTTGGTGTGCGGACTTGAAAACATTTTTTTTCTGATTTTTTTTTACATTCTTATTGCAGAAAGCGTTTGAAATTATGACCTTGAAGAGAATTCATTCAAGTTTCTGAAACCCACCGTGGATTTTCTGTGCAACCATTGGTTTCTGAGATATCGATGAACCCTGTATAAAGGGCTGAAAATCCAAAAACGGGGAAAAACGGCTTTTACGATGTCGATTGTCAGGTACTACAATTAATTTTTATGTGTTTGTTTTTTATAGTTTTGTTTTTATGTTTTTGTTTTTATGTTTTTCTTTTTGTTTTTATTTTTATGTTTTTAAGTNGTATTCTTTGATAAATTTTAAGGGGCGTCTTTCATATAATGTTTTTATCTATTCCATCCATTTGAAAAATCGCCGAAAATGTAGATTATTTTTGATCCCTTAATTTTTTCCATTAGTGTATTTCATTTAGAAAAATATGCTACCGATACCCTGTATCTCCGCCACTGGAACATGTAAATTTTAGGAAGAGCCTTCAGATTTCGAACAATATTTACATAAATACATGTGTCCAATTTCAAATTATTTCACTTACTAGTTTTTAAATTATTCAAAAAAATTAAAAATATTTTTTGAAAATTAACACAGTGTATCTTTTTAACGAAGTATCCAAGATAAAAACCTTATAGGAAAGACTCCCCTTAAAATTCACCAAAGAATACGAGGTTTCATTTTTGGCCACCATTTGTGAATCACCCTGTATACAGGGTCCAATGAAGTGAATACGCCGTGGTAAATTCCATTTAATTCCGTCAGTATGAAGATATAGCATAAAAAATACATTTTTTAAAAAACTTTAACACCTAGTATCTCGAATACCGAGTCCCGCAGGAAAAAGTTTATAGAGCAAACTCTACTTAATTTTTGGTAGTGATTCTAGTCCTGCAGTTTCTGTATTTAAAGTTAAATCACCCTGTATAAAGCGCTGAAAATCCAAAAACGGGGAAAAACGGCTTTTACGATGTCGATTGTCAGGTACTACAATTAATTTTTATGTGTTTGTTTTTTATAGTTTTGTTTTTATGTTTTTGTTTTTATGTTTTTCTTTTTGTTTTTATTTTTATGTTTTTGTTTCTAAGTTTTTGTTTTTCTGTTTTTGTCTTTATGTTTTTATGTTCTTATATTTTTATCTTTTTATGTTTTTGTTATGTTTGTCAGGTATTAAAATTAATTTTTATATTGTTGAGCGTTGGCTTTTTAAAAAAAGTTCTTAAAATGCTAGCTAAAGCAAATTTGTGTAATAATTTCGACATTTATATAATAAAAGTTATGCAAACATTCATTGAAACAAGGAATGGCTGTCTTATAATTATTTATATATTACGGCAAAACTAATTGTTACGTATGGAATAAGCTATATTTAACAACAATAACGAACTGCAGCATTATGCAGTGGCTGTGAAAGTGTAACAAAAATATACTCGTATATTTTCCACTTTATATTCCTCTGAAATATAATTAACGATACTTTTTAACAACTAATTTGCTAAATAGTTTATATTATAAAAAATGCTAAAACTGTCTTTGGAAGTACAAAATACTTTAAACAAAAATGTTATGTTTTATATGCAATTTCTGTTACTACACAAAGTTTCAGTTTAATATGTCAAGGTCATAGGCGTAGAAGTTATACTTCACTGGCAACCAAAATGCAGAATTACTAAAATGATTTTGTAAACATTAAATGTAATGTATTACCTTGTAAAACTCTGTGAACATATCATTGTCTTCTTAAAATACTATAATAAAACTTATTTTTTTTTAAATTTCAATTTGTGATGAAATATATTGGCCTTAATCTTTTATTTTTTTAGTTAGACAGTGGCGTAACAACATTTTTTTGAAATTGGGAGTATTAGTGAGGTAATAAAACATACACAAATATATTTTTTACATTAAACACTGTGCTATGCACGTATATAGATATATTTTCTTCACTGTACAGCGCCGAACAGTTAAATCTGCATGGGACATTGAGTGCCGAACAATTAGCTTTGCCGCTTCCATTATACGCCTAATGAAATGGTAATTGACATGTTAATGAGTAATAATAAATCCCCCTCGAATCGCACCACGTCGATGATCTGACCAAATGATGACATGAATAGGTAGTATATTTGATGACTTACACTTACCAAGTCCGATACCAGAGGTATCGACTTCCTCCTAGGCCGGATGTCCGGCATGCTGTCGATGTTGCTGTAGAACGGATTGTCACCGGGGTGGCTGGAATGAGAATTGTGTGTTAATTTTTGAGCTTTGTGGTCGGTACAGGCGAAAGAATGAAAAAAAAATGTTGGTAATCTTTACAAGCTTGTGCACATAGGAAACACAGTCATAAAAATCGCGACAAGGACAAATTCTATTAAACTTTCATCGAATATTGTTTAAAGAAAAATCTACAAATAATTTCTCAATTGTAAAAATAATCTCAATGTAAATGTCGAATTTTCAAACAATTTGTGTGGTATTGACTTAGTTTAACTTGTCAGCAGATAAAAGTAGATCTGGCACAATTATCTCCGCGCTACAGGCGCAAAGTAGGTAACATAAAATAAAGTGAGCAATTATTATAAGATTTATGTTAAATTGCTTTTCGCTTCGTTATCGTCAGTTTTGGAATAGGTTTGTCTGTACATTTTTATAAAAAATGGGCCCCACAGGGTCTAGCCCGAGAACAACAATTGCAGGTCAAAGATTCCTGGAACCCGAGAGAGAACATTTCTAGAATCAACAAGCATGTCTTTAGAATGAACATGCCTTTAGAATCAACAATAATCTTTAGAATCAATAATAATTTTTTGAATCAACAATAATAACCGAAATAAACATCAGGGCGGGAGAACATTCCTAGAGCCCCCACGGAGTTTAGCTCGAGAACAACAACTGCAGGTCAGAGATTCCCAGAGCCCAAGAACATCAAGAAGCCTGAGACCAACAATTGCAGGTCAAAAATTCCAAAACAAATTACTGTTGTATCTTGCAATCAATATAGTCTCATTTAAAATTCATTTAATCCTTTGTCGTGAGTTTTGTACAATCGACCATCATAAACTGAAATTAATCGAACAGGAATTAATACCTTTGAGGCAGTTGGTAGTAATTTACTATGAAAACATTTTATTTCTATGCCAATATGATTTGCCTCTGCCTTTATAATTTATATCCAAACAAAATTCCTTTTCCGGTTATTATATTCTCATCAGGAAGTAATTCTAGAGGTATAGGAGCAGACCAATTTGCATCTTTAATGAGAATGGAATACTGCACTTACAAAAATGAAAAAATGTAAATAGCTACACATTTACACGGAAACAGAAAAAAGTGATCTCTTTTGATTAGTTCATGTTATTTTTATATCTTTGAATCTAGTGAATACAGATCTTCATCAATTTTACAATTTCAAATCACATTTTCAGAATTACAATCCGTTTTTAAACATTTTAGAAATATCTTTCTTGCAATACATTTTTCATTTTTCATATTGGGAGAATCATTTGTACTTCCCAATGCGATGTTTTAGTATATTTGTTGTAAATATTTACCAGAATGAGAAAGATTGGATGGCAACTTAATTAGCTATTCCTCGGTAAAACTAGTAAAAAAATACACAGAAGAGATAGCTCAGAGAATTTTATTAATATTTTTTTTAACCATTAATGAAATCCCATATTGCTAAAAGACAACTAGGTACTGTGATATGGAACAATTGGAAACATTCAGAAAAACTGATAGACTAAATAGTAGGCTCTATCGAGCCTTATTAGTTCTGTTTAATGAGGCTAGCCCCATCGTGAGTAACTTTTAACGGCATAGGAGCGGATTGATTTCCCATTTGACTTCTGACCTTTAATCACAGCGGGTGTCAGCGTCTGTGTTTCATGTATATTGGACAGTAAATGAGGCAAAAAATCGTTGAAAATATACTACAATCCTACGGAATTCGACTTCAGTCTGATTGGGATGGGCACCCAAATTACCATTGCCAAAACTGGTCTAGAAGAGACACAAAAATTTGCCAGAGCTAGCATTTATATTTATTCCCGCATTAACATGAATTTTAAAAAATGCTTGTACGTAGAAAATATCAGGATACATATGAAAGACTGTCGTATTCACGGAATTTACCATTTTGTTTGTCATCCGAATGGCAAGCCGATCATAAATATAAAAGAAGCAATCCTGACTGCTGAAAACTTTATTAACCGTAATGCAGTATCCTGCATCAAACGCAGAAGCCACTCGATCGAAAAATGTCTTTCAACAGCGACATTTTGAGTTGCTGACGTCGGTGAATATTTTAAATATTGTTCCGCAAAACCCCTATTGAAATAATATTGAGTTAGTGCACTGTTCTAGTGCCATTGGGGTTTGTCGGTTTTTACTGGTAGGGAAATAATATTCTGTTTATGGTAATGCTCGATAAAATATGGCTGTTATATTTGCGCTTCGTTTATGTACATTGCTATAGTTTGCTAGTAATATTCACGTAATAAAACAAAGGGCTAAATATCGTCCCTCTAAACTCAAATTGACATCGTTGACATATAGTCCAGTCACTGAACCATTTTGGCTACCAATTTTTTCGGATGGAATGGATTAACGTGAAATTTGAACTGTAGCTAGGGAATAGCCCAAGAAACAAAAGTTATATAGTGCCGATGTGTACTTTTACCCTAGGGGTGGATGCCACCACTTCTGGAGGGTGGGAATTGTTTTATTAAAAATAACCTCACGATTCGATACAGGGACGAATTCTAAGCAAAACATGTTCTACAAGAATTTTTTGTACAGTCAATACTTTTTGAGTTATTTGCGCCTAAACATGTTCGTTTTTAGCCCAAAAAATGCATGTTTTTAAGTCATTTTTCGCGAATATCTCAAAAACTACAAGTTTTATCAAAAAAATGATCATTAGCAAAAATGAAGGTAATTAAATAGCAAAGAGATTGCTTTTTTATATTTTTGTAGGTGGTATAGAACCCGAGTTATGACTCCCAGAAGTTGAAGTCATACCTAATAGAAACGTTCAACGTCCTGTAGCGAAAAAATTAAAGGTTTTTCGAAGAAAACTTATATAACACCTATTAAAGTTCTTGAAAACACCTTTAAATTGAGTGGTGGTGAAAGTCGTTAGCATGAAAACTAATGAAGTTACAATCAAAATAAAATGATTGTCTTGATTTTTGAGAAAAAAAATCGGTATTAAAATTAATGACTTGACGGAAAAAAAAATTAAACGTATTCCTTCTGCAATTTACTTTATTTATGTATTAACAGTATATTCAGGGAATTTGAATAATTTTAGAAACCTAAATTAAAAAAAATATTTCATTTACTTTTGAATAAACATTTTCAATTTTTTTAAAAATCGCCTTTCTTCAAAATATTTTAGACTAATAAAGTTATAAAAAATGATAGAATAAGAAATTGTAGGTTTTTTCTTATTGAACAATACGCTTTTTTTAATTTTTGTAGGACAAAATTTGACTGAATTATGACCATTAGAAGCTCAAAACTAAGCTCCAAGACTGCCTTTCTCGAGCCCTTTTAACTTACAGATCTAAAAAACGAAGGGCTCAAAAAAACTGCAAATTACAGAACGAACTGAAAGTGCTTTAAATTCCCTACAAAATGTTTTTTTTGAGTAAATTTATAACTTTAAAATTACAAAAGTTATGGTAAAAAAATTAATCGCATTTTTTCGGTAAAATTTTCGGAGGGGTAAACTACCATCATCTTTGTGTATTTTGGAGCATTTGTGAACTGATTTGAGCAAGGGTTTTTTTGGGTGGCTGAAAAGTTGCAATATATCATAAATCATTTGAAAACGAATAAAAAGTTTACAATTCAACATAATATGCATACCATTAAAACATCTCAAACTTTCAATAATATTTTTTTGTTTATTTTATTACAAGGGATTGTTTTTAAGGGTTGCAACTTTGTAATGAGTCGTAAGCTTTCTAATGAATAACAAAAGAAATGCAATACATTGTGAATGCACCAAAAGAATATTTGAAACTGTTAAAAACTTTTTTTTTCTATTTTTTTTTGGCCATGGAAGGGTAGTTTTAAAGGATTTTTAAGGATTGAAAAGTAATTAAATTTCATAAATTATATTAAAAAACAATGAACTTTATCTAACATATTTGAACATGAATTGAATCTTTAAAATACGCAAATCTGCGCATTTTTTTGTACAAGGGTAGTTTTCACCGCCAAATAGAAAAATGCACTCATCTAGACAATATAACTTTTGAAGTGGGGGGTCAGATGAGCTTGTATGCAAATTTTCAGAAAAATCCATGCTATCCGAAGAAATTGGGAGCTTTTACCTTATTTTCGCTTTCAGTGACTGGACTAATAACAGTCACGTCAGTTTGTGAGAAGAGGGTTAATATATGGAGCAAATACGTTCATATATTGTCAACAGTTATTATGCAAATATTTTCATACTGAATTGAATACTAAAAAAAATATTGGTGACTTTTATTATTCTGCGCAAAATAATAAAAAATTAATTAAATTGTTTTGTGCTATTATTTTTAGTTTAGTTAAAAATTTTATGCAGAGAATTTCAAATTATTGTCGTTGCAGAAAATTTACTAATGTTTTGTTGAAAGAAAATAACCATATTTCTGTACTCTGTACCAGAAAGCAAAACTTGAAACTGACATGACTGTCAATCAGGTTTTAATAATATGCATGAAGTTCATATTCTTGTTTTGTTGCTCGGTAGATATGAGTTCTTGCCTAAGTTCCTTAAAAAAACTGATAATAGTGACATCTTTTATATTTTCCCTTTTGTGTATGGCATTTGTTTAGATCGGCTGTAGAACCAACTATTTTTTTTTTCGGGCAAATTATGACTAACCCTTCATAACATTTTACCGTTTCCAGGAAAATTGTATTCCGTTCTGGTCATTCCAACATGAATATTTAATGAAATACACGATTAATCCATCAAAACTTTTTGTGGTCCAAAAAAAAATTATCGGGAACTTTCGAGGTTAGAATAGATTGACATTATAAGGAGTTTCGTATGTATTCGTCCTTATCCGTTATCGGATCTCCCGTCTCGTGAACTTATAACTGTTTTGCATGCTGCACAATATGCCTATCGGGTTATTGTATTGCGTGATCCACAATAACACCCAAATGACCCTTTTAGAGGCGTTCTGGAGCTGGTTTCAAGATTAATCGCCCCCGACTTGGAATTGGCTCCAATACAACGCGGCGCAACTGGTGTTTCCTTGAATGGCAATTGCAGCTACTACAGGTTTTTTACGATCAATTTTCTTACTACTGTCAATGTTATTATAGGCGAGCGGTTCACCCCTAAAAAGATGCTTCTAAATGAAGATAACCGACAAAATTTTTAAAACAAAAACCTACAGCATGAAACTTTTTTTATTTTATATAGTGTATTTTTCTGATAATTTACATATTTTTTTTATATTTTTCGGCGTGGTCAGTCAATTGTTATAATTAAAAAAGTTGTAAAAAAAATTACTCGCCAAATGGCTTTGAAAACAGTTGTTGCTTGTAAAATGGAGCAAAATAAACACCTTTTGTTCTTTTACAAAAATTCGATAAATGCTTCGTTTCCGAGATATTTACAATTTAATGTGAAGTGACGAAATCGACAAACTTTCGGAATTTTTTTCTCAAAAACTACTGAACAGAATTTAATTATAAAAAAAGCATAATAATCGGCAGATCTTCTACTTTAAGATATATTTTTTTTGGTATGGGTCAATCATTTTATTGAAGGTCTAAAGCGAGTAAAAAAAAAGTATTTTAAAGAAAATTATGATATCACTTCAAATTTAAATTTTCTTTTTACAATATCTTGGATTAGATTATATTTACAATAAACATTATGATTTTTTTTAATCGATATATCAAAATATGTCAAAAAACAAAAAGTGTTTACTTTAGTCCATTTTACAATAAAAAACTGTTTTCAAAGCCATTCGTTTATAACAATTGACTGACCACGCCGAAAAATATAAAAAAATATGTAAATTATCAGAAAAATACACTTTATAAAATAAAAAAAGTTTCATGCTGTAGTTTTTTTTTTAATTTAGTCGGTTCATGCCTTTTTTTATAGGGGTGAATCGCTCGCCTATTAGTGCGGCTGGCAATGGTGTGACACCAGACTCAACTTTTAAAGAAGTCACGTTCCAAAGCTACCGTAAAAAGATGTTACAATTTAACCAACTGAAAAAAAATTACTGTATTATTTTGGTATTTTATTTTACGCGGGAAACAGAATTTTGTAATAAATAAAAAGTAATTACATTTAATTAAAGAAAAATAGTTATTTGTTTAACTAGGCAATAGATCACAAGATTTAATGCCACGGCAGCCAAGGCATTAAATCTACCTTACTGCAAAGTTAAACACAACTTAACATAACATACAACATATCATAAGTTAACATTATTTTTATTTCAACAAGGTCCTTTATACTTTTAGAAGGAAATATATTTTCGCGACAGTTTTTCTAATAAGGTTTTGTTTGCAGGAGGGTAAATTTTTTGTCACTTCGTCCCTTCCTTATTGACATGATATAAGAGATAAGTGACGTCTTCTTCTCGATTTTTACATCGGAAATTTCCCCTGCCATTTATAAATTACGATCACTTGGTATGGTGTCATCTGCTGCAGTCAATCATTATTATGTTTGGGTTGACATCGTAGTAAATATCTCCAGTAAAAACACTTATTTACAGGGGTTTAGTGTAAACAAGTATTTTTTTGCACTAAACACACAATTATCTATCAAATTACGGATAAAACTAGTCGTCGTAGTTTGGTGTGCCAATTAGTGCAAAAAAGATGGCCCTTCTGCACTCTTCTACAACTATTTTTCTTGTAATTTCTTGCATATCATTTAAAGGTCATTTTTCTTATTACATTATATCCATTAATTATTCTATTCCATTACTTTATATCCATTATTTTTTGTGAAAAATGAGTTTAACCTTCAAATAACCTTCAAAGACACCTTAAACAAATGTTTTGATTCAAGACTCTGGCATAAATTTTGACGCTGTATCGGCTGCTAGAATAAAAAGTAACGTTTTCTATTTGATACTAAGTTGTCCTTAGTTTGACCTTGCAACTTGTGGTGAAGGTCGAATCCAAGGTCACAATCTAATATGTCACATTTTCCTTGAAATTTGATCTTGTCGAGTTATTCGAACAACACACAATCGTATTGTAATGAAATATTCGTTCTCGTATCAAATATAATGTTTCCATTGCTTGAACGGTATCCATATAAATCATTTTGTTTAAAGAAATGATGATCAAATATAAGACTGCTGTTGGAGATACAAGCAGTTTCCTCCGGGCAATCTTTATAAAGAAGCATCATAAAACTCAGAAGAATGGAAAAGACAGTCGGCAAAATTCAGATGGAAATTTAAAACACATTTACGTTTTCTCGCAGTTTCCTGCCTCAAAACCAAGAGCCAAATGGAACTATTGTTGTAGGCAATCAACACGGCGGCTAGTTGAATCGTCGGAGATAATTTTCTGTTGGATTTCAATCAATACCTCAGTCCCTCGTCAAACGAGCTTTTCGGGCTCGTGTGTTTCCAACTGAATTTACGTCCAAGCAGGAGAAACGTAAAATCCTGCTGCGGTTTCATTTCGGCTGACTTGGGGAGCGATTTAGATTGTGTTCCGCCTACACCATTGTTTTACTCAAATTAATTACGCATTATTTTCCCGTTAACCGTGTTTGTCTATTAGTTGAAACAATGAAAATAAATAGAATTGTAACTAAACAGAAAATTTAATGTGTCGGGTAAGTATCTGCAAATAAAAGTCAAAATAACAATTCTGCTTCCGATGTTTCCCAGGAAAACCACTATTTGGCTGAAAATTGGCTCAAATATGGGTCAAAACTATTTTTTTTCCTAAATTTTGTCCAAATATATTATCGAAATAAATAGTACATTTTTTAAAGATATATGTATCTTCAGAGTACAAATAAAACATTTAGTTTGCTAGAGTGACATATATTATACCAGATTAGAATCCAAAACGTCAATTTCCAGGTACCATTTCGGGGGTTGGTAGATACTTCCTAACACCCTGTATTTTGGTATAACACTATTTGCTTTTTATTTAATAACAAATTTTACACCAGTGACTTTCACTATAAGATTTACATTTAGGTATTGCTTTTTTTCTTATTTTAACGTCATCCAGAAACTATTTTCCTTTTCTACACCACCAACAACAAAAATTCACCTTAATTTTAATTTGATAAATGTTTGTTACAACTTTATTCTATTCAACAACCAGATGCTCAATATTTTCTAAAGAGCAAAAACCATCGAATGACACTCAAACAATATTCAATCAAGGATATAACGAAATTTAATTAACACAAACAGAATAAGGAGATATACAGAATCATTACAGTGAAAAGGATGTTTAATTAAAACAATAGAAACTAGGTCCACGCCATCCCTTTTCCTCAAACAACAATGAACGTTGCTGCGGTCGATTTACCTTATCCAGGATTATGTTTAGTTATCGACTTGATGGAGAGAGTGCTGTGTGATGGAAAATGGGCTCTTGTAAAGGTCAGAAGTCAAGATTTTGGCTAATTGTCAGCACGTCGGGAAATTTTTACCAGAAAATAGACATAATAGAACTTTATATGCCGTAAATTGTTGTTCTTTGAAGCTCGTTCAAATAAAAGGTTGTCTTAAATGTGAATTAACTCAACTTGTCTCTGTCTTTTTAATTGTGTTTAATACAGGGTTAAGAAAAAGCAATGAACCAAACTTGTTATTTTTTATTTTTACTCGTATTTTCTAAATTAGGATACTGTATTTGATTTGAGTTGCTTACACCTCCAATTTTTTATAACTAAATGCCGAAAATGAGGAAAAATATACAGGGTATCTGAAAGTAAATGAACCATACTTCAAAAATGATATCTTTGAATAAAAATAAACTTATTTAGATCATAATTGATGCCTCTGAAAAATATCGCGTCATCTAATTTTATTTTAATTCGTTGACAACTCTGAAATTTAAAAAAATTTGAAACAGCGAAGTTTTTCGGGAAGAACATGAGTTTATTTTTTTCAAATGTAGAGGCTTGAAACACTAATTAGTTTTTTGATATTTTTGCTACTAGAGATTTTGGGAAAACACGTGTTTCTTATAACCCGGTACATTATTTACTGCATAAAAAGTTATCTAAGGTGCTTCGTTTTATTGAAAAATAGATAATTACATAACACTTTTTTGACAATAATTCGTATCAAATTATCTCTTATTCGAAAGCAAATTTTGACATGCCAGACATGGCCTGTGCAAATTACCACAAATCATAAAAAAAGTTTAAGAAAGATATAGATTTGGCAAAAGGTTGAAGGTTCTCCACAACTTATAATTGTAGTGAACAACTGACATCCACATTTTACTGACGTCTAACAGCAAACAAAGCAACTTTTCATTAAAAAATTGCATTTTCTCAAAATCTCTACCGACAAAAAAATATAGCAAGAAGCAAAAGACTGTTTTAGGTGTTCTTAGCTATCTCTATTTTAGGTAAAAAAATCTATGCTCATTTTCAGCTATTTGAATAAACCACCTATACAAAATGTCATAGATATAGAAGTATCTCAAAAATTATCAGTTAACGTAAGTAAACGAAATAAAAAAAAACACACCCTATATATTGCACATAATTCTGTTTTCTACTTTATCGAAGTAAAATTTGACAATGAACGACCACATCAAGTAATCAATGACACTAAGCATCGATTGAAAATTCATGTTCAGAAGTATCATTGTACTGACTTTTTTCGTTACATCTCCGTCAATTTTTTACTATGTGTTTAAATTATATTGATTTGCAATTTCTTTTTCGCTGCTAATTAGTTGGTTGTCATGAATTTTTTAGTTTTGCTCGGGAATAAATCCAATTTTTATTCTAATATCCCTAAATTTATTATCTTTAATATTTTAATTTGACTATTTCAGTCATATCTTTAATATTTAGGTACCTAATTCTTTATAAATATACACTAGCTATGATTAGTTCTTATGTTAATAATTTATTGATATAAATGCTGCTTACCCATTCGCCCTTCCTGCAGAATCTCCGCCGATGCCGGACCCATTCTAAAAAAAAACCAAAAAAAATAACATAAATAGTTGATCAACAAAACAACCCCCTACGGGGCTTAACAATAAAAAAATAAATCAACATTTATTTAATATAAAAACATGTTACAATCTTAAAAATAACAATGGGTCGTAGAAATTCAAACAACTGGAATGAGACAAAATTATTATCTTAGCACAATGTCTTTTTTTTATATAAAGCAGTTTCCCTATAAGCGTATAAAGTTGAATACTGCTAATGACATCGATTGCGAATAATAGGTCTAAGTACACTTGCTAGGGTCTATACTATCTTATAATTAGAGGGAATATCGCAAAAAGTACAAGGTTGGTGAATTCGGAGTAAAGCCGCTTACACACAGTACAGTATTGTCGTTGTAAACTGTTAGTCTCCTTTTACACGAGGCGGTTCTTTTGCCGCGGCAGCAAATCCTTAGCGTATGAAAGAAATGAATTTTGCAAATTAATGTCCCTACCAGCTTTGAAATACTCGCAATAGAAACCACTCGTTTCGAACATATTAGTTCTTATCAGGTGAGTTTATGGACCGATATTGCTTTCATAGTACCTAAAAATAGTTATATTGAATAGCAGCGACCATTCATAGATGTAGTAGTTTATCATATATTACATCTCACCTATACTTACTCTACGTCTGCAGTTAAGAGAACAAAACTAGCTAGATTATGTAGCCTCACCTATTTGCGACTGACAACTAATCAGTTCGAAATCGGTATATGTCTGGTGGTCTCTAGCTGTTTACTAGATATTGTGAGTGTAATTCAGCGCTAGTCAGTCGTCATTAGTTAAAAATGTATATGATTTAACATATCTTTATGTTAATGCTGACTCTGCCCTCACTCAGGGCGTTTTCACGATAACTTTACACAGTGGTGGCGTTTGGCGAAGAACTGTTCAATGTGCAAGGGCCCTAAGTCGGTTGACTAATGATCGTTAAAAACCGGGCGAACTGGAATGAAACGCTGCAGTCAGATAAGAGGAGATTGCTCCGTAAAATATGGTAGGCAATATGCTAAACGGTTGTCTTTATATTCATCCGCAGGCGCGGGCCCGCTGTTTTGAATTTAGATGCCTAGGAATTTAATATTTTTCGGAAGGTTAATAAATAATTCATCCGAAGTTCATCATGACATCATAAATTATATGTCGCAGAGGTGGAACAACGGCCTGGAGTTCAATAACTCGGACTTATTCCCAGTTGAAGTTTGCGAACATTTGAGGAAGTACCTGGACAAGTTTTAAATTCCTGCATTCATGTTAAGAATTTCATAAATGCATTAAGTTTTAGATAACATGATATCTTTGAACAGCTTTATTCTTATACAGTTCATGTGTCTAGCTAAAAAGTCGCCTTTAATCGATATAGCTCCCTACGGATTAAAAAGTCAATAAAAGCTAGGTTAATGACCGCACAAAACGGTAGGTCAAGATTCACTCTTGAGAAATTTTCGTAGATCAGGAGCGGTCCGAAAAGCGGTTTACATAATGATTTGAAAATATTTTTTTTAATTTTCAATTTTTCTATTAATTTTTCCCCACCTTCCATTCAAATTAATATCATTATGATTAAATCATCCTGTATATGTAAATTTTGCTGGTTTATACAAAGTATTTCAAACGTATAACCTCTTTTGCGTTAAGATCGATACGAGTTAAGCTCCTTTTAACTCTTGAAGTAAAACATTTTTTAAATCATCCATACTTTTGATAATAGACATACATTAAAAGTTTCTGTGTTTACGTGACAGAGTGTTTTCTAAAGAGAAATGATTTTAAATATTGGAAATCTCTATTACGACGTTTGACTATTTTCAAGTATAATGGATTACGAGGATTAAAACGCGGGTAGGCAGACATTTAAAAAAAATATTCGAAAACATTACTAAAGTATTTCTTTTATTCATAGGCAGCTCATTTGTGTTATTTTAGCACGTACAAAATAAAAGATAAAAATGTGATTTTTCGGAAAACTTGATTAGACAAAAGTTGATCATTTTACTTAGTACTTGGTTAAAATTTTGGTACTTTATGTATCTCCTCTTTTAACAAAGCAATTGTTCAAATTTATATTGAAATCCTATGAAAACAGCCAATTTTAATATTATTTTCTAGATACAAAATGTCAATGTAGGTATATCATAGAGTGTGATAAATATATGCTAGAAAAATGGTTTGAAAAAATATAATGCATGGTAATAAAAATAATATTAAAATATAGAGCTTAAAAAGTTGTTTTTCGTATCATTTCATTATGGACTTTTGGACCACTTCTTAGATGTAAGAGGGGGCAAGCTAATTTTTGCTGGAATACTTTCAGTACAACTCATAATAAAAGTGTAGATCCCTAGATCTGGGCGAGGTCCGGAACATTTTCAAATATACAAAAATGTTTGAAAAATTAAAGAATATACCTATTTATATGAGTTTTTTGAAGTCACTCTAATTTTGGCAAAAAAAACTTTAGAATATAATAAAACAACACACCAAATTTCATTAAAGTTGGTTGAATAGTTTTCGCAAAATAATATTTTGAAAAAAATTTTCGAATTTTCAAAATGTTGCACAGCCTCAAATATAGCATCTAGATAGTTGAAAATTTTTGAAAATTGAAAAATTGAAATCGGTTGATTAGAACGACTACAGTAAATTTTTAAAGTTAACACTCTTTTTTTTTATTTTTAAACTATTAGATTACATTTATCAATTTGCAATTTAGTTTTTTACTCAGAAAGACGCTTCTTTTTTTTTTTAAAAAAGTTAAATTCCGTTTATGGGTTCTCGAGATATAAGCGATCAAAGTTTATCGGCATTTACCGTTAATTTATAAACAATTTAGCAATAATCTTTGATCCAGTGGCTTCGTTTTTCCGAGTTCTAAGCTGAAAACAAATTTCATATCCATAAGTTATCGGCAAAATAGATAAATCAGCGGAAAAGCTGTCGCTCGCACGCGCGAAAAGTGACTCAATACACGAAAAGTGGGGGAGGGGGCTTTCGCTCCGAGACTGAATTCGGAGGTTCAAAATGCGAATTATGTGAAAAAATTTTCAAGTATCTAGATGCTTTATTTGAGGCTGTGCAACATTTTGAAAATCCGAAAATTTTTTAAAAAAAATTTTTTTGCGAAAACTATTGAACCGACATTAATGAAATTTGGTGTGTTATTTTATTACACTCTAAAGTTTTTTTTACCAAAATTAGAATGCCCTCGGAGCAATTAAGATATTTAAAAAAAATTATCCAAAAAACCTTGATTATTTGGCTTTTTTCCATCAATTACTGCTATTTTGCAACATCGGTAATAAATTTAAACATTTTTCACTTACAGTATATTGTGGAAAATTCAATTCAATATTCTTCCAAAATGCATAGGTTCCAAGATATAAGTAAATACTTACATGAAATAGAATTTTTTGCAATTTTGAAAATGTTCCGGACCTCGCCCAGATCTACACTTTTATTATGTGAGTTGTACTGAAGGTAATCCATAAAAAAATGCTTGCCCCCTCTCACATCTACCTCAAAACAGATCCGCCCTGGTCTATTTCAAAATTGTCCAACTTCTACAAAATAAGCGAACCGTTTGGACGGCACACCATAACCTATGCATTTTTCGCAATATCCCCTCTTAAATTATACTAAAAACAAGGCTTCTCTAGTGCGAGATTGTCATTATGAAAAGCAGTCTACTGTTCAGTCTGTGATGGAAGTAGGTATACTATTTATCAAAATACAATAATTTACTTAAAATTCGTATTGCGCTATTGTGAAATATTTTCCCGGTTTCGCTGCGAATTTTTTGCGTACGTTTTTACTTTCCGAATACCATCATAATGTCAATCTCTGGAAACGTGTATCCGACTACATTCTAACAGATTTCCAATCTAATATGTTCACAGATTTAAATCCTATGAGATGAAACGGTTGGCGAGATCCAAATTATTGCTAACAAGTGCCAAACGGTGGATAATATTAATAAAAATATTTATTCACATGTAGTAATACTTTGTTATGGGGGCAAACAATAATGAACACTGATTAGCTGTTTTAAAATACTCTAATACACTTTATAATACGATGATATGAAGATGAGATATGGTGATTGAAATGGAAGAATACATTGCATTAATATGCCTTCTGCATATGGAATTGACTTATTTGTTATTGAATGTATATTAAGGAAGTAAAGCTCCTCGTCGGGTATTGGTGTCTTTTCCTAATATTCTACAACAATTTCTGAAGGCAAAGCTTACATTTGCTGGTAATTTGTAACATTTGGTGCAAAACAACTAACAACAACAGAGTTTTTTAGGTTTTCACATGAATTTCATAAAACTTTTGCATCATACCTAACATACTTACTTTATCTTTTTCTACTGGCGGTTCTATGGGCACTTTTCCTTGACTGCTCTTTTCTTCGGCTTTTCGTTCCTTCAAGGTTTTCAGAAGCTTCCACTTGCTTCCTAGTTGACCGCCTTCTTTAGGCTGTTCTTCCTTTTGGGAGGCAGTAGTCGAATCTACTTTTATTTTAGGTATCGTTAGAGCTGCAGGTGTCTCCACCGCTTCCTGTCCGCATTCAATCGATGGACCCATTTCGTTGATTAAATGAAAACGAGCAAACTCATCATTTAACATCATTTCGTTTTCATCGTACTCGTCAGTGCTATGGTGGGGGCTATCCGGCCCTGAAGTTTCCCCAGAAGAACGTTCTTCGTCTTCATCTTTAGGATATTCAACTTCAGGTTCTGGTTGCGGCAGTATCGGCAGCATCGGCAGTATCGGCTCCTCTTTGTTAAATTCTTCGTCGTAGTGATAGTGTTTAATTTTTTCAAAGAGGGATGCGGCGCTATCCAGCTGGAAAGATCCCCTGTTGCTCCCTCTACGCTTGGCGGACTGGATAACATGTAAATTGTTATCTTTCTCGTTTAATACTCCTTCGACGACTTTTGCTTTCATTCTTAGCTCTCTTAGTACGA